TAATACAGTTAACAAGTGGAGGACAGAGGAGGCTCTTAAAGAAGAAGTTACAGGTCTGTGAGAGCCAGAAATCTTGTTTGTTTGTAAGTGACCAAATACTTATTTTACAGAGGAATTTACCAATTAATTCATTAAAAATCCTACAATGTGATTTCCTGGATTCTTTCACCCCATTCTGTCTTTCATAGTTGAAGTGTACCTAGGATGAAAATTACAGGCCTCTCATCTTTTTAAGTGGGAGAACTTGCACAATTGGTGGCTGACTAAATACTTTTTTGCCCCACTGTACCTTCAGCCTGGTGGCCTCCATCAGAGCAGTATTAAACTGAGCATTGTCTGTAATATGGCAGCGTGTCTAACACACAGTATCTCCCTTCATTAGGATGCTCCCACAGCAGGAGCAGGGAAACACATTGTCTTCGGCTCTGATGATGATGAGGAGGCTGACAGTGATGATGAGCAGCAGACAACTTCAGAGATCAAAACGCCAAAGAAGACGCTGTTCCAGGACAGCCAATCAGAGAACGAGGCACCAGGTCATAAGAACCCCTCAACAAAAGAAAAGGTGAGAGAAAAGTTACTGATGTTATTAATGTTCAGATTCTGCCCATGAATTTATGTAACATTCTGTATTTATTCATTATCAAAAACAACATTCAATCAGGAATACTCAGAATATATATATTATGGGTCATAGTGTCGAGTGACAATCATTTAGATGTTCCAATAATATCAATTCTGAATGCCTGAAACAGTTTTAACCCTAATAATCAAAAATGTAAGAAATAAGAATGATTGTTGAAGTTTTCTACGGTCACCTTGCTGTTCTATGATACTAGCCAATAATAGAAAGGTAATTGTTGTCATGTTATGGCCTTGTTAAATGTACCCTGTAACAATAACCTAAAATGTCATGTCCTTAAGGCTCTAATTTTTCCACATTTTTACTGAATATTGATATTTGTTATATATTTTAAATGTGTAAGTAATTGTAAATATTCCAGCATCTCGACAACACTAATGGCAACCTTTTGAAGAAACACATCTGAAATCAACTGCTTAATCATCTGTTTTTGAACTGTGTGTCGTGGTGTGTCAGAAGCTGTCGGGAACTCATCTGTTTGGCGGCAGTGAGGAAGAGGAGGATGCTGATGAAGAGGAGGATGGCAGCAGGTTTGACATCAGGCCTGAGTTTGAAGGTCGAGCAGGACACAAGGTGAAAAAAGGAGTTCACACATATATCTGTTTTCATTATATTCAAGTCCTATATATTAATACAAATGACATCAATGGCAAATCAATAGTGTGTGTGTGTGTGTGTGTGTGTGTGTGTGTGTGTGTGTGTGTGTGTGTGTGTGTGTGTGTGTGTGTGTGTGTGTGTGTGTGTGTGTGTGTGTGTGTGTGTGTGTGTGTGTGTGTGTGTGTCCAGCTGATGGAGCTGCAGTCTCGCTTCGGGAAAGACGAGCGCTTCAAGATGGACTCTCGCTTCCTGGAGCAGAATGAGGACAAAGAGGAGGTGTCAGGTGAGGCTGAGGGGCTCTTTGGGTACAGCTTGGAACTAGACCTTTCTGCAGAGGTCTGGGCTGAAGTCGATTATTCCATTTAGCTTAGGAACCTTCCTAACGGAGTGAAATGACCCGGAAGTCCCTCACTGGCAGCCATGATAAGTGCCGTTCGAATTCTCTAGATCAGGGGTGCCCACACTTTTTCAGCTTGGGAGCTACTTTTAAAATGAACACGCACAAGTGATCTACCTACAGGGCCGCCCTTGCCCAATCTGTGTATAATAGTGCGCCGCATTTGTGCTTCAGATGAGGAAGTGAGGCCCCCTCATAACTGCATGAACCCGTATAGCACAATACAACTCAGACTGGCTTACCTG